TCTTTTAGATATTATCTATATAAAAGATACCAGTCACTGCGTAAATGTGTAATCACAGATTTATTATAACGATGGCATTCTTGAATATGACAAAAAAGAAAACCCCTTTGTGTTGACTGTGGGGCCTCCTGCTTATCATCATCCTCATCAAGCGTGTATGAGTTTACAAATTCATATCCGTTTGTTTTCTCTTTATTATCAGGGTTGTACAAGAAGACCGGCAAGCTAGTCTTCCTTGGCCTGGACAATGCTGGAAAGACAACACTCCTGCACATGCTCAGAGATGACAGGCTAGGACAGCACGTGCCGACGCTACACCCAAGTACATCCAGAGATTTGACATGTAGTCAGTTCAGCAATCAGCATTATGTGTCTCGCTTCGTCGCTTATTTAAAGTCAGTGCTTCCTCTCTGTCCTCAGCGTCCGAGGAGTTGACAATAGCTGGAATGACCTTTACAACGTTTGACCTCGGAGGTCACACGCAAGGTGGGAATAAGGAAAAATGCTGTTTGATGCACTAGCAGCTCTCACTTGTGTGTTACCTAAATGCTGACACTGTGTTGCTCTCACAGCACGAAGGATCTGGAAGAACTATCTCCCAGCCATAAATGGTATAGTCTACATGGTGGATTGTGCTGATCATGAGCGACTAATAGAGGCTAAAGTTGAACTGGATGTGAGTTCATTAAGTTGATTTCACTTGTATATCAACACGCAGCACCGTTGTTTATAGTTTTGGCCAATGATAGGAATGGTGTCTTTGGTGAATATATACTTCCTCTCTTCAGGCCTTGTTAACAGATGAAACCACCTCAAACGTCCCGGTTCTCATCCTGGGGAACAAAATAGACCGTCCAGAGGCCATCAGTGAGGATGCACTCAGAGGAATGTTTGGTCTTCATGGACATACAACTGGAAAGGTAATGATCACACTAAATGATGTGATTAAATGCTGAATTCTGTCATATTTTTTTTATTTGTATACTGTTATTGAATCTGTCTGTATGGTGGAAAGCAGTCCAGTTATAGTTAGAGACAATCTCCTTACGCTGGGGACGCACAAGAAAGCGAAAGCAAGTTGAAGGCCATCTCGTGACCTGCAGTAATAGTTTTGGCGTCTGTTATATTTTTTCGATGCACCGCGAGTGAGTCTGGCGAGAAAACACACTGATAATCTATTACAAATAATATAAATGATATGTTATGTAAAAACATCTAATTCTGAAAAAGATAATGATTTTTCTGCCCCTCTCCCTGCTGTTTTCCTGGAGTTTCAATTCCCCCGATGTATTTCCACCCACACGAGGAAGTATCAACATCTGCAGACACACATACACACACACACACACATACACATACACACCCACATACTTCATGTCTTTTTTAAAGCCTCCATGTGCTGGAGGACACAGACAGAGAGAGCCATAGAGAGACAGGGAGGGAGAGAGGGAGCAAGGGAGGGAGGGAGGAGTGTATCTCCAGAGAAGAGAGAGAGCTCAGCTCTAAACTCCTCAATGTGGATTTGAAACCAACAGCTTTAGCTCGCCACATTCGGCTCTCCAAACCGCATGAAACAGAAGTGTTGCTGAGGAAATGACTCTGAAAGCCACACTGCTTTGATCCCCCTTCCTTTCTTCACCCTCTACTTGTTTCGGACTGAAAGCATGATGCTGAAACACACCAAGGAGGGCTTTGCTCCGTCTGTCTGCACGTCAATGGAAACCTGGTGTGGTGTGAAGGCAACGGAGAGAGCGCACAAGAGCCGAGGACTAGAGGAGCGCCTGGAGGAGGAGGAAGAGGAAGATTAGTGGAGAACAAAGCAGAAGGGAGACAAAAAACAACCACAAAGATGAGTTTACCAACTAACTGTGTGTATCTGGCCCCCTCAGTCCAGGATCGCTACTTCAAAGTGAGGAATGGGAATATCTGTGGGTCACCGTGCGCTGTCAACCGGCCCATCGACATCGTGCAGAAACGCAGGCGGTAATTTAATTTAATCCAGATGTTGTAGTTGCACAACTCTAAACATACTGCTGTCTAAAGCTTTAAAAACATTTTCTGCACTTATACAACTTAAATCATTATAACTTTACTAACATTAATGATATGAAACTATGATAGACTATAATAGGGAGGTTTTTATACATACATATATATCATGCTTACTTATTTTATTATAAGGCACATTTCATTTATTTTTATTCATTATTTTATTTCCTTTCTTATTATATTTTAAGTTTCTGATATTGAATTCACTGCCACCACAACATCTGCACCACTCAACACTTTTAGTTTATTACTACTATATTGTTAACTAGTTAACAGTAGGTCATTTTGTGTTTGTGACTATAGTATTTTTACTACGAGAGAATTTATAGTGTTTCAGTGTTGCTCAGTAAGTAATTTATAGTGACCTCGCCTTTGTATCTCCCAGTGATATTCCTATCATTCAGACTCACAGTACAATGAGTCTGTGCTAGTCAGAGTTTAAAGTGACCTCAGTGTGCCTAATGGTATTTGATGATATTTTCATTTAATCATCATGAAGTCATCCTTTGTCCGTAGAGGGTTTATGGAGATTGATTTTATAATTGTATCTTATGGTAGTAATATTTTATCAGATAATCACAAGCAGGCAGACGTCATTCACACAACTAAAGTAATTTTGCTGAGTGAGTTTCATCCTAATTGATTTACAGTCGTGAGATCTGAAAGAAGATTAAGCTTCTGTTGCTTTATTGGCAAATACACACACAACCACGTGTGAGAAGGGTCAATATCTGCAACCTCGCAGGTAACTGCGACTGAACAAAATCTCTACTTTTACGCCTTAGAACTAAAGAAAATGATCTCTGCCTGTACAGTGGAGTTGAGCTCAGACTAAACAAATGACCTGTAAAGTGCTGCTTTAAGGATGTAATGGTGAGTCAGATGGACTGATGTGGTTCTACACGAAGATCTGAATCTGATCTGTGTGTGTGTGAGTGTGTGTTGAAGTCTTGAAATTTTTTATATATCATCATTGACTGCTTAAGTTGTAGAAAAATACATTAGTTCACATTTATTCTGTTATACACACACCTCAAACACTCTGTCTGAGGTAAATACGCATACACATACAAAGAAACCTCAACTTGCTTTTATCTACCCTTTTTCAGGGTAAGACTGTTAAACATTAATAAATTAATCCACATGATTCTCAATCTTCTTGTATTATCTAAAGATGATTTGCAAGCAGTTTTATGTTGCAGTAACAGTCTCTACAGTTCTCGATCTGATTGTGTTATGTTAACACTCAGTGCCAAATGCAGTGGTGAGGGAGAAAAAGGGAGAATTTTTTAGCAAATTATATAAAAAATACAATGAAAGTTGTCATTTTATAGCTTCAGTAAGAAAGTATAACAGCCCATACTTCTATGACTGTTTTTATAGTTTGACCATTCTCATGCATTGCTGCACACACACGCGCACACACACACATTTACACCAGATGAGTTTACCTGAAAGTGTCTGCAGCCGTAAGAGTCACAGAAGGAAATGTGACTAATTTCGCAGTCAGCCTTTCAGAAAGTCATGACGACATCAGCCTTGTCGGGGGGGGAGGGGGATCAAAGTGACTTTAAAATGTCAACCCACCAATAAAAAACCTTCAAAGGGAAATTGCTAATGAACGCAGAGTCGGACATATTTATAGGCCTGATGGATCGACCACATGTGTGTAATAACACAGTCAAAAAGCAGCGGAGAAAACTAGAGTGCACACTGTAATCGTCCAAATCCCTTTAACCTTGCACCCTGTGTAGTTTCCATTAATTCCTAGACGGAAACATACTGTTTTCATCGTCACCGCTTTACCTCGTAAAGTTAGAGCTTTTACAGTTAGTTTTGGCAAACGGATTTGTGTCTGTCAGTACAGACATTTAGCTTCTGCTTTTTAAGGGTTATGATGAGGAAAGAGTTTACTGTGTGAAATGGCAGCATCCTCCCTTGATACAGTTATCTCTTGTAAGCTCAGTTATCTCATACTATTACTGCCATTTTCTGTCCTGTCCTTTCAGTTTCTGTCCTGTCCTGTCTTTTTACATCCCCCCTGACCCCATTAAGTCCTTTTCCTGTCATATATTGTCCCATCCTGACCTCCTTCATTAGTTGTGGTCAATAAGACGATATTCAAATTCTATCATAACTTATTTACAGTTTAATGTCTCTAGCAGCTATTTTCACAGTTGATTAATTGTCTTGGTTGTTTAATTCTTTAATAATTCCAAACATTTGCTAGTTAGAGCTTCTGCAATATGAAAATTAGATGTTTTTATATAATTGTAATTTAATACTATACTATAATTTGACATCCAAAAAAAGAAGAAAAGAATCAATAATAAAAATGTAATCTTGAGTAATCAGGGAATTTTCTGTATTAAACAAAAGCATACATCCACTTCTGTCTCGTCCTATCCTGCCCATTATTTTCATCATTTTACCTGTAACTTCAGTGATGATGATGATGATGAAGACTTATGTCAGACACTTACTCACTCATCATGTCTTATCTCCCAGCAGAGATCACAAATGTCAACTAGACTCTGACTCACACAGTCAGAAGGGGAGCTAACAGCTCATCAGTCTCGTAATAATAATAACAATGACGATGATGCTGCTTATATTAAAAGTTACTCATCACTGTGAGATCGAAGCAACACAGCAGCTCCATTAGAAGCCATAATGAATGATAAAGTGGTGAGTTAAAAGTTGAATCTTCCAAACAATCACCAACATAAATTTATATTTATATTAAATGTTTTTATTTTAGTTCAGGTGGGTTCATCCTCAGCTCGGCCCTGTGTTAGAATAAAGGTTTTGATTCCATTAATAGCTTCAGTGTAGATTAATAAAATACGATAAATTAGATCTCTGATGAAATATTTCTTGAAGGTGATGGCAGACACAATTTCGTTGAGGGTCAGAGGCGTTTTGCTCTTAACATGTTGCTGACAGTCATGATGAAGTGTCTCGTGTGTGTGCAGCCTTGTGCTCGTCGCTGCTCGTGAAATGACACTTAACATGTCGCAGTCCATAGTGCTTTCACTGAAACTTCCCCGAGTCAGTTGATGGCAGATATTTTGTGCTGGTCATGAATCTGTTCACATTTGATCATTTTGTATTAGGTGCCTCAGATTGATCTTGTTTCTTTCCTGTTGGTGTATTAAAGAGTATTGAAGTACTGAAAAATACTGATTCCAAAATTCAGACTATTACATTTATTGTGTTTTTGTGGAAAAGCATCAGAAACTGTATTTGATTGTGTTATTCTCAATTTGAAGCTATATCTTTAGAAAAATCAAGGCTCAGGGAACAGCTTTGTTAACTGCTTGTGTGTTGGAGGTCTGATGTTTGGCCACAGTGAAACAAGTTCCTGCAGCTCTGCACTATCCAGTCTCTCTCTCTTTGTGTAAAACTGATCCACTGACAAATATTTATATATATAAAAAAATCTACAGCTGTATATTTAAAACAAAGCTATTTTCTGCAGCTGCTTCATACTAAAAGCTAATAATAATATTTTGTCTTCACTGAAAGGAAGTCATGAGTAGCAGTAGAAAGCAGTATTCTGGTACTGCAAACATCGAAGTGTTCATATAAATGTTTTAAGCTGTAGCTGACAACTGCCCACAGTCGCTGTAGCAGCTCTTAGTCTGTGTGATGCATTCTGCTAATTTATTTAGACTAATGCAGGAAAATCTCGTCGGAGCAATTACATCCTCACGAACTCATACAGATGAAATTATTAACTGTTTGAAAATGTCTCTACAACTATTGCTGCTATGAAATTAAGAATCAATTTAAAGGATGAGCAAATAAGTAGAAACTACATAATAAGAAAATACTTTTTTGTGGTTCTGGTCCGACAGAAACCTCCACC